AGGGAGGAAGCCAAATTCAGAAACATTTGAACACTTGGGGATGGAGCACAGTGAGTAGGGCATTTGCCTTGCATGCGGCCGACCCAGGTTCAATTCCCAACATCCCATATGGTCCCCCGAGCACAGCCAGGAATAATTCCTGAGTGCATGAGCCAGGAGTAACCCCTGTGCATCTCTGGGTGTGACCCAAAAAGCAAGCAAGCAAGCAAAAAAGAGAGAGAGAAGAAAAGAAACATTTGAACACTTCTCTCTATCCTTCGGATGACCTTACAAAGGTCTCTGGTGCCAGAGTTGGTGCACTGCAATGCGTACAGCTATGCTCCTGATTGCTCTGATGCCTGTCTCTCCCACTACTGAAGCTTCGAGCCGCTTTCTTCACAGCGGCCCTCTGCAGTCTGAAGGCGAGGAGTAGTCTCCAAACATTTTCACATGGATAAAACAAAATGCAGTAAGTTTCCAAAGAAAAGTAAAATAAAGTTATCAAGGCATCTCTTTGAAAAAAAATCAGATTTTGACTGTTTTTAAATGTCCAGTGTCCCAGGAAATACACGGACATATTACAGCTTTTAAAATGCCACCTGGGTGAAAGGTTTTATAGAACAATGTAAAAAGGTCTGCAAAACCACAAGGTCCAAAAGGAAAGAGAGAGAGAGAGAGAGAGAGAGAGAGAGAGAGAGAGAGAGAGAGGTGCCTGTCCTAGAGGCAAGTGGTGGAGAGGTGGGGAGAAGGGAACCTGGGGACATTGGTGGTGGGAAATGTACACTGGTGGAGGGACAGGTGTCAGAACATTCTGTGACTGAAACCCGATCATGAACAACTTTGTAACTATGTGCTTCACTGTGGTTCAATAAAAATAAACAAACATTAAAAACATTTAAAAAATTAAAAAAATAAAATTATAAAACATTTTCAACCTTAGGGACCAGAGAAATAGTATATGGGTTAAGGTACTTGCCTTCTACATGATTGAACCCAGTTCAATCCCCAGTACCTCATGCATTGCCAGGAGTGACCCCTGAGCACAGAGCCAGGAGTAAGCCCTGAACACAATCAGGTGTGTCCCCCAAACAACTATATGTCTGTATATATGTGTGTATGTATACACACAGATATATATGTATATATACTATATCTATAGGGCTGGAGTGATAGCACAGTGGTAGGGTATTTGCCTTGTGCGCAGCCAGCCCGGCCGAGCCGGGCTCGATTCCTCCACCCCTCTCGGAGAGCCCAGCAAGCTACTGAGAGTATCTCACCTGTGTGGCAAAGCCTGGCAAGCTACCCATGACGTATTCGATATGCCAAACACAGTAACAACAAGTCTCACGATGGAGACGTTACTGGGCCCGCTCGAGCAAATCGATGAACAATGGGAGGACAGTGACAGTGACTATATCTATGCTACCTCGATCCAGTTTTGAGGCCCTGGGTAAATGCTGTTCCCCTTCTTGAACAGCTCCACACACTCCACCAAATAGGCCTCTTACTGGGCTGTTAGTAAGAAAGTCTGCAGACCCCAAGGGCCCCAGCAAAACGGGCAGAATACCACTAAGCTTCAGAGCTTTTGCAAGTGAGTCCATCCTAAAGCTGCTGACATGGACCTGCCCATCCCCGAGAAAGGCTTGTGGACATAGTTACCACCCTCCATCTCACAGGTGACCCCCAATGTTCCCCTGTACCACGCCCTTATGTCTGAGCACCCTTGGGATCTGGGAGCACAGCACACGCTTGCCAAAGGCAGGTGCTTCTAATCTGCAATAATGAAACTTTCTTTCCCAAAGCGGACCGAGTCTCCCAGCTGTATACATGAGCGCTCTCCTGAACAGCTTTGAGACTGCGAGGGCCGAGCACCTCCACCAAGTCAGAAGCTTTGAACGTGTCCTTTAGACTTGTTACCTTGAGGCTTCCATCACGCAGAGGCGGCAGGCAGTCTGTTCCCTGCAAGTGACTGGGATTTTCCTCATCTCAGCTCTCTTAGATAAAGGACAATTCCTGAAGAGACTCAGGCCAGAGCTGTCAGCTGCCAGCACTCTTGGCAGCCTGGAGAAGGGCTGACGGTTCCTGAAAGGGCACCGGGCACTCAGCACCAATTCTCCCACAGTGCTACCGAAACACGGATGCTTCCAGGATCAAACTGAGATATGCAGAGAGCTAGAACAGGCCAATAGCAATGGAATTTCTGAGAAGCAATAAATCCAATAGCCCTAAAGCTGCAGGAATTACAGCATAGGCCTGATATGATCATCCTGGTACCAGTGACAGAGCCAGAGAAGGTTGGATCCCCCTTCGAGAGAAGCTCCAACAGGGAAAAAAAAGGCCAGAAAAAGAATTTTCAAAGAGGACCATCGACCACTATCAACTCTACCCCCTTCATAACCATACTAGCAACAGACTCTTACCTAGCTAGAAAGCCCCCACGTGGGGCACTTTGGGAAAAACCCTATAAAAGCCACCTTGAAAAAAGGAAGTGTTCGCATATGCTGCCCAAGTCCAGGTGTTGCTTGTGCCCACGTAGTTGAGCACGTATGGTGCCCAAGGACATGTGTCACCCACATCTCCCCTCTTGAGATGTGGACTTTCAAGTTTCCATATCCAATGCTGGGGTGTGTGTGTAGGGGCTCTCTCCACCTGGGGAGAAGCCCGTGTTCTCTCTTGAGCATGTTATTCTTTCTCCCTTTGCTCTCCCTCCTTCCTCTTCCTAAAAGATCTCCAAAGATGGCCGAGATCAGTACCAGGAATTTTGCTCCATGGCTTTGAGGCCAGCCACACATGCTAGGGGAAAAGGGAGCTCAGATAGAGAAGGGAGCACCAAATAAAGGGTGTTGGGAGGATCCTCCCAGGATAGGAGAAGCATGCTTATAGTAGACTATAGACCAAACATGATTGCCACTCAATGCCTCTTTTGCAAACCACAACATCCAAAAGGAGAGAGAGAGAGAGAGAGAGAGAACAAAAGGGAATGCCCTGCCACAGAGGCAGGGTGGGATGGGGGGAATGGGGTGTGGGAGGGATACTGGGACCCGTGGTGGTGGAAAATGGGCACTGGTGGAGGGATGGGTACTTGATCATTGTATAACTGAAACCCAAGCACAAAAATTTGTAAGTTTACAACTATACCTCATGGTGTTTCACTAAGTAAAGGCCCTAAAGTAAAGGCCCTCCCGTTGATCATCGATTTGCTCGAGCGGGCCCAGTAACGTCTCCATTGGAGACTTTGTTGTTACTGTGTCTGGCATATCGAATACGTCACGGGGAGCTTGCCAGGCTCTGCCATGCGGACGAGATACTCTCGGTAGCTTCCCGGGCTCTCCGAGAGGGGCGGAGGAATCGAACTTGGGTCGGCCATGTTGGCTGCGTGCAAGGCAAACACCCTACCGCTGTGCTATCGCTCCAGCCGGTTTTACTTCACTGCTCATCTCTTCCTGAAATTCTTTTCTGAGAGACAGGAAAAAGTACCTGGAAACCCTGGATAAGGCCTAGGCCTGACTTTCCAGACTTTATTAGTCCTAACCTTCTCCCATGGTCCCAGGTTGCCAGAGGCGGATCCGGAGAAAGTGAGCATCTCTTTCCTCTCTGTGTCACATAAGCCACTCGTGGGGACCGAGCAACTGTAAAACTATCTGAGTAAATGTCAAAGCAGCAATGAAGAGATCTGGGGGCAAAGAGGCAACTAATCACGTGGGGCACAATTTTCCTGGGATTTCCAGTCGCCATCTCTCTGCAGTGGCTGTTTCCGTACCCCAGATGTAACCAACCAAGGATGGAAAGTCCATTCTTTCAGGCCCTCGATGGTTGCACCTGTGCCCAACATGTGCAGGCCCTCTTTCTTCCTAAACAGCCTAAATTTATTTCCCAAAATACCCAGGAATATTTACATCACACTTCCCTTGATTTGGGTTAGCTAGCAAGGACTTCAGGATTCTGGGAAGAAGATTTGTGCAAATATTAGAGCATTATATGTAAAGGATCAGAGAACCTCGGGGACTTGGCCTCTGCCACTGTTGTGGAATCAAGACCCACTGTAAGGGAAACACTAGCAGGATTTGTTGCCTACTGGAAGAAAACATTAACTTTGTGATACAGTAACTGAAAACACAGACCTGCAAGTTCACGTACCAGTCAAGAAGACCTGGAAAGCGGGAACCGTGAGTGATTCACACGGGGACACCTACTGATGTTTCTGGTGCCACAATTAACTTCAATTAGCTTCATAATCAACTGCAGTGAAAACGGACGGGATGCCGTTGAAAAGATCTAAACGGAAAAAAAAACGAATGCCACCAAAGCAAACCCACGGACGCAGAAAAGCTGCGTAAGGGAGCGGAACGCGACCCCTTGAAAATTTCAGGGAGCGGAACGCGACCCCCTGGAAATTTCAGGTCAATTCTCGTGGCCAGTGAGCCAAGAGGGCGGGGCCAGGGCGTGGCCAGAACGCGGCGGAGCGAGCGCAACCGGGAGGAGGGGCGTGGCCAGAGGGCGGCCGAGCAGTCTCAGCCCGGCGAGGGCGTGGCCAGAGGGCGGCCGAGGGTGGGGTCTCAGCCCGGCAGAGGGGCGTGGCCAGAAGGCGGCCGGAGGGGTTGGGCAGAGGGGAGGGGCGTGGCCAGAGCACAGTCAAGCAGGCTCAACCCGGCGGAGGGGCGTGGCCAGAGCGCGGCCGAGCGTTCTCAGCCCGGCGGAGGGGCGTGGCCAAAGCACGGCCGAGTGGTCCTCCGCTAGGAGAGAGGGGCGTGGCCGGGGCGCGCTCCTCCGTGATTGACGGGATACCGTTCTTCTCAGCACGTATCCTGCCGCCTGTGCGCCAGGAAGTCCCGCCTTCGAATCAGGAAGTAGCGGGGCGTGAGTGTGTCTGTGTTGACCCGGGCGACGGCGGTGACCCAGCGAGAGCAAGGTCCCGGCGGCACATCGCTGCCGCTTTAAGCTCGGGTTGGTGCTTGATCAGAGGCGGCGTCGGGGCCGCCCATTAAGACCCAGGGACACGAGTGCGGTGCGGAGGGGCAGGATGGCCGAGCTCGGTGGGGTCGGGTGGCGGGGTTGGAATGAGCGGGACACGCGGAGACCGTGCGGGAAGACTGACCGCGCTTTGCCCTCCACCGTCCTTTCCTTTCTTCCTCGAGTCCCTTCCGTGCGCGGTGACCTGACATGATGCCCACACCTCGTAAGTCTCAGCGCCAAAGATCTTGTCTGATTCAGTTGGCCTGCCCGATCTCGATCGCCACCGCCCAGGACCCCTTCCCGCCTGGCTGCCGCCTGTGGCTGTGGTTTCTCAGGGACCTCCTCCTTTCACCGCCCCCACTCTTTATACCCCTAGAAACTTGCCCCAAGCTGCGTGTAGATTTCACTTTAGTTTCCTAAAGGTTCCTGCATTAAAGTTGTTTCAAAGTGAATCCGCAGCCTATCCGCTTCCATAGAAATTACACAAGGTCAACCCGGGTCAGTCAACCCGTATTTAATCACTTTCGTTCCCTGGCAGGTTTGGACACTGGGAATCCAACCATGGGTTTGTCTTCCTCGACCCCGGCTGTTGCTGTTCAGACCTCAAATGCTCCAGATCATCAGACATCAGCCCCACCGTCAGGATGTCCAATGCATAAAGGGCAAATGGCAGGTAATCTCCCCTTGGAAACAGAATGGAATAGCAGAAGGAGTTTAAGAGAGGTGATGTACTCTTAGTGAGGCCCCTAGACCTGAGTAAGGCAACCTAACTTCAACTGTCTGCAGAGAAATAGGACTCTTAAGTCTCACCCTATAATCTGTAATATGAGGGTGTACTGTTTTTTTTTTCATGGGGTTGTTGTGGGCTAACTGAGCTCCTAGATGAGAATGTAATGATCACAGAATGTATGAGAAATTAGAAATATTCTTGAGGACTCCCATCTCCTAAAGTTGACCTATAGTACTGACACCAGTAGCTATCAATCTTGTGGAGCTAGCAGGGGCTTTAGGGCTCTGGGAAGAAGATTTGTGCAAATATAAGGTCACTGTTTATAAAGGATCAGAGAACCTCAGGGACTCGGCTTCTGCCACCGATGTGGAATCAAGATATACTGTAAGGTGAACAGGAGCAAGATTTGTTGCCGCTGGAAGAAAATACTAACTTTGTGATACAGTAACATTTGGGGGGACAAAATACAGTAACAAACCTGTAGACTTTTTTTTTTGCATCACACCAAGTGATGCACAGGGGTTACTTCTGGCTCATGCACTCAGGAATTACTTCTGGTGGTACATGGGGAACCATATCAGATGCTGGGAATCGAACCCTGGTTGGCCATGTGCAAAGCACACACCCTACCCGCTGTGCTATTGCTCCATTTTTTATTGTCATAAATGAGAGAATGTGAACCTAGTAGAAACCCAGAGTTTTGAACATCCAAAAAGCACAGCAGGGGGCTGGAGAGATAGCACAGCGGGTAGGGCATTTGCCTTGCACGTGGCCGACCCGGGTTCGATTCCCAGCATCCCATATGGTCCCCTGAGCACCGCCAGGAGTAACTCCTGAGTGCAGAGCCAGGAGTAACCCCTGGCATCGCCAGGTGTGACCAAAAAAAAAACAAAACAAAACAAAACAAACAAAAAAGCACAGCAGCCTCAGAGACAAAGAATCGTCTAGCCCCAAATGTCAAAAGTGCCCAAATTTAGAAACCTTGGTATAGGCCAGTGTTTCCCAAAATGGGTGATACTGCTTCTTGGGGGCCCCCGGAACTATTCAGGTAGTGGTAGTAGCCTTGGGTATAATTAGGGGTGAAGCAAACACTTTCTTTTTCACTTAAAGACAATGTAGATTTCCAGGGGGGAACTGGGTGGGTTTTTTTAAGATGGCATGATACTTTGGCAAGTTTGGGAACCTCTGGTCTTATTTTTTTTTTGCTTTGCCTTTTGGGTTACAGCTGGCCCCAATCACTCAGAAATCACTCCTGGTGCTGCTCAGGGGACCATATGGAATGCTGGGAATCAAACCTGGGTTGGCTGTGTGCAAGGCAAACGCCCTACCCGCTGTGCTATTGCTCCAGCCCCGGAACCTCTGGTCTTTATTTGTGTCCAGAAAACTGACTTTATCCCACCTCCATTGCAGTGTGCATCCATAAAAATAAGCCAGGCCCTGGACTGGAGCAATAGCACAGCGGGTAGGGTGTTTGCCTTGAACACAGCCGACCCAGGTTCGATTCCCAGCATCCCATATGGTCCCCCGTGCACCACCAGGGGTGATTCCTGAGTGCAGAGCCAGGAGTAACCTCTGTGCATCACCAGGTGTGACCCAAAAAGCAAAAAAAAATAAAATTTAAAAATTTAAAAAATAAGCCAGGCGCTGATGAACCTTCTGGATTTTTGAAGGTGAGCACACCTGGTTGTGTTCAGGGCTTCCTCCTGACTCTGTGCTCAGGGATCCCTTCTGGAGTGTTTAGGGAACCCTATGGGGTGCTGAGGACCAAACCAGGGTCAGATGCATCCAAGCAAGTGCCCTCCCTGCTGTAGTCTCTCCTGCCCCTGAACTCTCTGGTGTACATTTTTTTTTGGTTTTTTGAGTCACACCTGATGATGCTCAGGGGTTACTCTTGGCTCTGCACTCAGGACTTACACCTGGTGGTGCTCGGGAGACCAGTGGGGTGCTGGGGACAAACTCAGGTAGGGCACATTCCGGGCTAGATCCTTACCCACTGTACTACCATTCCGGCTCCTCTGTGGTACGTTCTTTACATGCAGAGAAGAGAATGGGAAAGCCAAGTTTAATTTTGAATTGATCCATACTTGCTGAAATTGTATCTCTGAAAGCCTAGCCTGATGTGAGACTTATGGGAGGAAGAACCAAGAAGGAACGCTAACACTTGCCCCCATGGTGGCTCACCATTGCCTCGGCCACTCTGTGCATCAGTGGGCCTCTGGTTTGGCACGGAGAGAGCAGCAGTGCGTAAAGCAGGCAGACTCCTTCACCTAACGGAGTTCTCCTCAGAATCCTGTGTGGTAGCTTTTCTCCCTGCTTAATGTAAAGAAACTTAAGAATGTCAGCTAGTGAGATGGCAAAGCCTAGCAGAAAAAACGCAGTGGCCTGGGGCTGGAGTGATAGCACAGCAGGTAGGGCATTTGCCTTGCACGTGGCCGACCCGGGTTCAATTCCCAGCATCACGTATGGTCCCCTGAGCACCACCAGCAGTAATTCCTGAGTGCAGAACCAGGAGTAACCCTGGAGCATTGTCGGGTGTGACCCAAAAAACAACAACAACAAAAAACCCCACAATGGTCTTGAACAAGAACACATTCTTCTAGACAGAAATACTTGAGCTGGATTTAGCCAGAGGAAGTAGGTATGCTTGTGATGAAGGGCCCCAGGGCTGTCAGGGAAGGTGTGAACAGGGTGTGGCTGTTTGTAGGAGATTGGAGGGACAGCTGCTTATCCTAGAATTCTTTCCTGCATAGGTAACTGGGAAAGTGTTGCCACTTCCCATGGTAGAGGTGGCTGAGCTACATGACATTAGGGCCTGAGGGTCTGGGGAAAGAACAGGGAAGGAGGTGAAAAACTCCTTCTTACAGGGCACCGATAGCACAGCGGGTAGGGCGTTCGCCTTACAAGCGGCCAACATGGCCGACCCAAGTTCGATTCCTCTGCCCCTCTCGGAGAGCCCGGCAAGCTACCGAGAGTATTCGATATGCCAGACACAGTAACAACAAAGTCTCCAATGGAGACGTTACTGGGCCCGCGATCAACGGGAGGGCCTTTACTTTAGGGGGGAGCGATAGCACAGCGAGTAGGGCGTCTGCCTTGCACGCAGCCAACATGGCCGACCCGAGTTCGATTCCTTCCGCCCCTCTCAGAGAGCCCGGCAAGCTACCGAGAGTATTCAGTATGCCAGACACAGTAACAACAAAGTCTCCAATGGAGACGTTACTAGGCCCGCTCGAGCAAATCGATGATCAATGGGAGGGCCTTTACTTTTTTACTTTACAGGGCACCCAGCATTGGGTGAGTATTCTTGGTGTTTCTTTTTTTTAAAAAATCTAATCTATCTCTGCTTTATTTTATAATTTTTTTTCTTTTTGGGTCACACCCGGCGATGCTCAGGGGTTACTCCTGGTTCATGCACTCAGGAATCATTCCTGCCGGTGCTTGGGGGACCATATGGGATGCTGGGAATCGAACCCGGGTTGGTGGCATGCAAGGCAAACGCCCTCCCCACTGTGCTATCGCTCCAGCCCCTATTCTTGGTGTTTCTGCTGCTGCCCAAGACAAGGATTCCAGGACAGGAACAATTGTCTTCCTGGGCCCCAGCTGGCCTGATGGCTCCCCCTCTCCTGCCTCAGGCCAACTTCCCTGTCCCATGGGTGCTCCCGTCATCAGCCTGGAGCCCGGAGCCAGAGCCATCCTACTTGCCCACCCTTCCTGCTGCTGTCCTTCTAGGTTCACACCTTCTCCCTTGGGTGTCACCTGGGTCCTGCACGGATCATGAAAGTGTCTCTATTGGTGGCCTTATTTGTGTGTGTGTGTGGTGGGGGGGAGACCTGTCAGCTATGCCCAGGGCCTACTCCTGACTCTGTGCTCAGGATCCCCTATCCCGGATAAGACGCACAGCAGGCAAGGGCCTTACCCACCATTCTATCTCTCCAGCACCAACGTTGGCTTTTTTGGCGGGTCAGCTCTTGCTACTTACTGGTGAGGAATCAAACTTTCACCAGACGGTAGTTTCTCTGTGTTCTGCTTTGCTGCTAGAGCAAACCACAAGCAGAGGGGTGTGCGACTTAACTCTGGTGGCCTTTGGAAGGCACCGGCATCTCCTGCCCGCGTGCCTGAGAGGAGGAAGGCATTGGGAATGAATGTGGGCCCTGGTGTGCCGTGGTTGGCGCTGGGGCTTGGGAGTCGACTTGGACTCGCCTGCTGAGATGTGAGCGGGGCGGGGACTTGGTAGCCCATCACTGAAACTGGGCTACAGTCTTGCAGCTGATGAGGAGGCTTGAAGGGGGGTGGGGGTTTTTTGGGGACTTGATTTTCTGGAGAGCACTCTACAAGAGCAGTTACCTTATTCCTTTTCCAAAGAGGAGGCTAGTTTCTAGACGCTTTTGCAGGCCTGTGGGATGTCAGGATGTTGCCTAGCACCGCCAGCAGCTTTACACGGCAGAGGCCTGCTCTGTCCTTCCATGCCTCCCTGCTTGGAAACTTAGCTCGTTGGGTGCTGGATTGGAAGAGCCAGCATCTTGCCTCTCTAGTGACGCTTTATGTATGATTTCTTTCAGGCTATCCAGGGAGTGCACAGCCGCCTAACCCAGCCAGCTCTGTGCCTGCCCACCAAGAACGCGCCTATGAATACGTGGAGTGTCCCGTGACGGGTGCCAGGGTTGAAAATAAGGAGAACCTAGATCCTTCCAATCTGGTAATAATAAACGCTCAGCCCCACTCCTTGGAACCTCTAATATGTTGAGTCTTTTACAGACTTGAGGGACAAACTAGAGTTTTGAACCCCTGACTCCACTAATGGTGGAAACATTGAGAAAATTTCTGGGATGTACCATTCAGTAGAGTTTCAGAGCGCACCCGAGAAAGAAACTGGGGGTTGCCTAGTGTCAGAGATCGCCTTCTGATCACACAGTGACTGGCTTGCTGCTTAGGGGAAGGTGGCAGGGAGTGTAAGTCAGGTTAGTAGAGGCATTTGGGGGTCTTGGGAAATTGTGGGCATACTGTAAAAGTCCAGTGTTTCTTTTGGCACCACTAGATGCCAGTAGTCAGGTGCCACCCATCCACGAAATGCCATTAGCGAGAAACCAAGGAAAAGGCCAGCCTGGCGAGAGGCATCTTGTGAGCATGACTGGGACAACATGGGAAACTGTCGAGCGACCTTCTGTGTTGTGTTATTTTATTCTGCGGTCACATTTTAATGAAGAGACAGACTCAGGCCTGTACTCTCAAGGGTCCCCAGTGTTTCCAAAGCGGATTTGTTGGTGACCCAGGCAACGTTTGTCAGAATTTCCTCTGAGAAGAAAGAGTGTGGGGGTGAATATACCCACCAACATCACCTGTCTGTCCTGTGAAAGACATCGTGACATGTACGCATTTGTGCTGTGATATGTATAAGTGGGAAAATGGGTTTGGGCCAAAGGCTGTGCATCACAGTATTGGTTTTTCCTTTTTTTTTCTTTATTTATTATTTTTTGGGGCCACACTTAGCAGTCAGGGATGGACAGTGCTCTGGCACCTTAATGGTATACCAGGGATCCATCCTGAGTCGGCCACATGCAAGGCAAATGCCTAACCCGCTGTCCTGTGGGGTTTTTAATCCTCAAAGAGATAGATACCAAATGTTCCACCGTGATGTGTATTTACCATTTACGAGAGCTGGGACAAGGAGAAGCTACTTTGGTATCTCAGTGCTGCAAATGAGGCCAGTTACAGGAAGCCGGAAATGTGGGAGCCTGGACCCTGCTTCCCATCTCAGAGACTCTCCCTGTTTTCTTTAGATGCCGCCGCCTAATCAGACCCCCGCCCCCGATCAGCCATTTGCACTGTCAACCGTGAGAGAGGAGTCTTCCATTCCTAGAGCAGATTCAGAGAAAAAGTGGGTGTATCCCTCGGAACAGATGTTCTGGAACGCGATGTTAAGGAAAGGGTAAGTGAGTAGATTACGGAGACTGTCCATTTGCTCTGGAAATCTTCTAAGAATGAAGTGTTCAAGAGGATTTCCCCAGGCAGGGAGCTAGTGCGAAGGGCCCCACACTCCATCCCCAGCACTGCCAGGTGTGGCCAAAAAGAGAATTTGCTTTTGGTTGGGGGGCCATGCCCCTCACTGCCCAGGGGACCATATGCGGCCCTGGGGTTCTGAGTAGAAATGTGGCAGCAGCTGCTTGCCAGGCAAATGCCCTCACCTTTGTATTCTTGTTGGTCCCTAAAAGACTGTTTCATCCCTCAAACATATAGCGAGTGTTCATCAGTGTATGAGAGCCAACTGTTTCCCATACTTACCAGCCTACAAATGCAATGTATATCATCAGTCAGGATTGTCACTGTCACTGTCCTCCCATTGTTCCTCGATTTGCTCGAGCAGGCACCAGTGACGTCTCTAACGTAAGACTTGTTGTTACTGTGTTTGGCATATCGAATACGTCATGGGGAGCTTGCCAGGCTTTGGCGTGCAGGCGAGATACTCTCAGTAGTTTGCTGGGCTCTCCAAGAAGGGTGGAGGAATGGAACTTGGGTTGGCCCAGTCGGCTGTGTGCAAGACAAATGCCCTACCCGCTGTGCTATTGCTCCAGCCCAATGTGTGTCAGTCAGGATTATCCAGAAAGAAAAGAAAGGGATTTGTGTGTGTGTGTGTGTATATATATATATACACACACACACACATACATATGTTTGTAAAGGGATTTTATTATAAGGGGCTAGAGAGAATACAGTGGGTAAGATGCTTGCCTTGCACAGAGAAGACCCGGGTTGGATCCCAGGCACCCCATAACATTCCCTCATCCCATCAGGACTGATCTCGAAACACAGCCAGGAGTAAGCCCTGAGTACCTCTGGGTGTCGCCCGAATAAAACCAGAACAAAGGGAGTTATTTTAATGAATTGGCTGTCCAATTCTGGAGGCTCCGGAGGACCTGGGGCTATAGTCCTGAGAGTGCCTGGGGTCGAGATTCCATACACTCTGGAGAATCCTGCCCTGTCTCCTGCTCCCCAATCAGGGGAGCCCCTGGGAGGTGTCCCGGCATAAGGGAGCCTTTGCATCCTCCTCGGCAGCCCGTCCTTCAGTCATTGCATCTCACACCAAACACCCTTAGTGACGCTTTGGGGCAGTCTGGGGCCCATATTGGGGCAGCCCTCACCTAGTCAGCCTGTCGCAGACAGCAAACCCAGCTCAGGATCAGGCAGGAGGAGTTTGGGGAGCAAAAGCTGTTGTAGAGGACACACAGGCAACTAGGGGATCCTCTCTCAGTGGCCCCAGCAGAAGAGGTGTCACCTTAAAAGTGGAGGGATTCCCCCAGGTCCCCAGTTTTCCGGTAGCTTGGCAGTCACACCCACAAGCCGCCCCTGGTGCCATGTAATCTCATCAACGGCCAAGACCTAGAGACTATAAACTAAAGCTCCTAGAAGAGAACGACACAGAATTTTCTGGACGTTATATTCTATCCATAATAAGCAATACAAAATAAATCGTCTACCATTGCCTTTTTGGCAAGTTTGAGTGGTGGTGAGACTGGTGTCGAAATATCAAATGTAACCAAAGTAGAGAGAGAGTATGGGGGAAATTGTCTGCCACGCAGGCATGGGAAGGGTTGGAACGGGGGTGGAGGGAGGAAAAGTAATACTGAGGATTTTGGTGGTGGAAATTGTGCGCCGGTGAAGGGATGGGTGATTGATGATTGTATGACCAAAGGTCAAGCATGAAAGCTGTGTAACTGTTTCTCAAGGTGAATCAAAGAAAGGGGTGGGGGGAAATAATAATAAAATAATAAAATTAACATTCTGAATAAAAAAAGTAATGTGGAGTTCATGCCCAGTTCAGTCAGCTTAATCAATGGCTGAATAAATAGCAGTACTCCTACATTATAAAAAAAAAAGTGGAGGGTCCCTGGATACTGGCCTAAGTGGCGTGGGGACTCTCCGCAAATATTTGCCTTGAGCTCGTGGCCATCAGTGATATTTGTCACATCGCACAATGTGCTCTGTCCTAGGTGGAAGTGGAAGGATGAGGATATCAGCCAGGCCGATATGCATAATATCATTAAAATCCACAACCAGAATAACGAGCAGGCGTGGAAGGAGATTCTGAAGTGGGAAGCCATGCACGCCACGTAAGTAGACTTGCCGCCTTCATGAAAGGTCCTTCGTGGCCCGGCCGGGGCCCTGGTACAGTGGGGATGGCACTCGCCTTGAGCGCTCCCACTTTGCAGACCTCACCTGGGAAGTCCCACGGGGTCACTCCTCCATCTCCAAGGGAAGGATTGGTCTCCTAACCTTGCTGTGGGAGGACGGAAATGCCCCCTCCCCATAGGAGATGGGCCACCCAGAGCCAAGAGGCCACTGTGGTCATGGCCTTGTGCCGGGCAAGGGTCTTTTCAGAGCAGTGCTCCTTGAGCTGATTCCGTATCGCTGCCGAGTGGTGGTTCAGGTGCCCAGTGCTGGCGGCTGGAGTGAGAGTCCAGCAGGGAGGGCATTTGCCTTGCACATGGCTGACTGGGGTTCAATCCCTTGCATCCCATAGGGTGCCCTGACCCCACCAGGAGTCATTCCTGAGCTCAGAGCCAGGAGTAACCCCTGAACACTCCTGGGTATGGCTCAGTACTGGGATGCGCTCCAGGCCTTTTGCAGCAGTTGTTCTGGGGTAAGCTGCTGGTTCGGGGACCCCCTCTGAGAAGGCGGGTGGGGAGACCCTCTGTGCGCCAAGAGCCAGGTTATGTCATTGGTACTTGACATTTGAAGCCCCTGGCAGCATGGGTTTACTTGGTTTCTTCTGGCAGAAATCCATTTGATGATTTTGAAAAGCGTTCTGTTTAGGATATTCCGGCTTTGACGTTCTTTAGTCACGGGCTGGGCACCTGGTGGGACCGGCTCTACCAGCAGGCTTGGCTTCTCAGTAATCCCCCATCAGTGGCCAGCTCCTCAGACACCCGCTGAGGTCTTGTGGTACCAGAATCCATCAGCATCACACTGGCCTTTTGAGCATGTTGACAATGGCATGTGTCACCAGTGGCTCAGCCTTGAATGTGGTTTCATTGATGCATATAGTCCAGTGCCATCGTCACCATGATGAAAAAGAACATGGTCTGGGGGCCAGGCAGGTAGCTCAGTGGTAGAACACAAGCCTCACATGTGAGAGCCCCAATGCCCACTTGCTTAGCTGCATATGTCCTTGCACACGTGCACTTGCAGACACACATGCGCTCACACACACACACACACACACACGTGCGTGTGCGCGCACACATCTATCTCTGCCTGGAACTGTTGAGTGATTGCCCAGGAAGGAGTCCCCACCCACGGCTCCCTTACTCTTGCGTGGGAGTGGGAGTGGTTTCTCCCTCACCCATGTAGAGAGAACCCCCCACAGCCCACCCCACCTCAGGGTCTTACCAGTGAGAGCAGCCGCCCAGACTCAGAACCTCGCGGGCCACATCCCTCCATCTGGGAAGAGGCAGTTTCAGAGGGCCCGCCTTGGTGCAGCTGGACCCCCGCTGTCTTCCCCAAGAGTCCACAGGGAAGGGGAGTGGATGTTAGCCAGACCCTGGCACCCAGCAGCCTGTGTGACACAAGTGGCGTCTGTCCTGGCATAAGTCAGCCTGTTTCTGCCTGACGGTGTAATGGACGGCTGCGGTTTCTGGGCAGAGAGCCGGCTTCCCGTTTGCTAAATGTCACACTTTTTTTGCTTTTTTGGGTCACAGGGGTTCCTCCTGACTCTGCACTCAGGAGTTACTCCTGGCGGTGCTCAGGGGACCATATGGGATGCTGGGAATCAAACCCGGGTCGGCCGCCTGCAAGGCAAACACCCTACCCGCTGTGCCATCGCTCCAGCCCCAATGTCACACATTCTTACTCCACACAGCTTTCGAAAAGTAGTCTGGGGGCCCATGAATAGTATTATTGATATGGGGATGACTTGGGGGCCATTCCTAGACCCTCGAAAAGAGCCTGCCAAGTCCTCCCCAGTACGAGCCCTCTGCCTCTGTATCCGGTCAGAGACCCGTTTTCTTCTGTCCTGTAGCACCTGCAGCTGCGTTCTCAAAAGGGAAACGTGATGGTCCAGGCTAGGCCCCAAGCCCCCACGCCAGATGGAAAGGGGGACGAGCAAGTGCCAGTCTGAAAGAAAGGGAGCAGGTGCAGGAACAGCCCCGATCCTGCAACACAGAGCGACCGTTTAAGCAGAGCTGTTGCCTTGAGTTGCTTCCAGAGCGGCCGTGCTCTGCCCCTGTGAATTGCAGACCGAAAAATGCCAGCAACCACCAGTTTGCAACCTCGTGACCTTTGTTCTTTGTGGGTCCCTAGGGAGTGCCCTTGTGGTCCCTCACTGATCCGGTTCGGAGGAAAAGCCAAAATGTACTCCCCGAGGGCAAGAATCCGCTCCTGGATGGGGTGAGTGGCATTGCATGCCGTTGGTCCAACGTTCCTTGGGCCAGAGCGGGCACCGTCTGGGCACCCTGCTTATACGGTAGAAGTGACATCTTTCCAAGGTTCCCATGGCTTTGACCCCGAGTCCCTTCCTCTCCGCTGCACCCGGAGCAGGGCACACTGGGAGCGTTGAATGGCGGCACCTCTGGGGTCTTGGGCTCTTCCTGCTGCTGCCATGATTGTGGGTCTGTGTTCTGATGGTCACCACCCACATCTCTCCAAGCCCTCGATCTAGACCCATCACAGGGGATGGCAGCCATCTCATGTCTCAGCTCCCCAGTTAGGGGGTGGCCCACCTCTGCTGGGTGCCAGATGTGGGCCCGCATGGGAACACTCCCTGGCTGTTCCCATTCCAGGTATGAGCTGCCATTTGACAGGCATGACTGGATCATCAACCGTTGTGGGACAGAAGTCAGATACGTCATCGACTACTACGATGGTGGCCACGTCAACGAGGACTATCAGTTCACCATCCTGGATGTGCGGCCGGCTTTCGACTCATTGTCTGCGGTGTGGGACAGGATGAAGGTGGCCTGGTGGCGCTGGACTTCCTAACCTGTGCTTGGTTAGAGTTAGGAAAGCTTGAGCAATTTTTTTTTTTTTTTTGCTGAGTGTTCCATTAAAGTCTTCCCGAATTGAATCACGCTCGTGATGTAATGTGAATGCCAAATGGGTAGTCGCCCCTCAGAGCCCGCCACTTTAGTGGCCGGCCACCAGGCTCTTGAGCTCTATTCTCACTTGGAATCTGATAGCCAATAATCCTAAATTCCCTTCCCACGTAGAGAAGTGGGGATAAGGCCTAGGTTTTACCTCGTAACTGCAGTATTGCCTGAATTTCTCATCTAGCCTGAGCCACCTCCGAAAAAGAACTTTTGAAACAAGAGCTACTTTTTTTTCTTCTTTTTGGGTCACACCCAGCAATGCTCAGGGGTTAATCCTGGCTCTGCACTCCGCAATCACTCCTGGCGGTGCTTGGGGGACCCTATAGGATGCCGGGGATCGAACCTGGGTCGGCCGCATGCAGGGCAAACTCCCTACCTACTGTACTACCGCTCTGGCCCCACAAGAGCTACTTTGTATTCGTTTTCTCATGAATACTTAAGAGCTAGATCTGAAAAGCAGATGAGATTTTTACCTGGTCAAATACATTTTTTTCTGGGGGTCCCACCTGGCTGTGCTCAGGTACTACTCCCTGCAGGCTAGGGTTCAGATCCAACCTCCCGTGTGCAAAACCTGCACGCCAGCCTGCTGGCTCTCTTCTTGGTCCAGTTCAAATAATTTCATGTCTGCTGTTAATTAATATCATTGTAAGTACTTCCGCTTTTGAAAACAACTAACAATCTAGGGCTGGAGCAATAATACATCAGGTATGGCGCTTGTCTTACACACGGGGACCCAAGTTCAATCTCCGGCACCCCATGTGGTCCCACAAGCCCATCAGGAGTGATCCCTGAGCACCGCCAGGTATGGCCCCAAAAGCAAAAGTAAAAAGTTACCCATCTTTTGAATGTCCCTCCAATGCAGTCATGCCCCTTGATTCAGCTAACCAAGGCGCATCCTGGCTCAGGCCCCTGGAGATTTCAGACTTGAAATATCCTTGCAGAATGGAAGGAGTTTCCACTCCCCCGTGATCTGCTAATATGAATATACTGGAATCATTTAGCTGAGTGGTGTCATCCAAACGCCCCCAGTGACATGAGATTCTTTCCCAAACAAGCTCTGCTGCTGGTCGCGTTGGCGCACCTGAGTCCTGTCTTCCTTCTGCCAGAAGCTTGCTCCCACTCCGAAGGCGTAATGCCAGGATGGGCTCTTTCTAACACCCCTTAGAGTTTGCTGGGTGTTGGAATTCATAAGGAAAATAAGCAGGTGGAGAATGTTTGCAATAGCTCCCACCTTGCTGTGTAAAGGTTTCTCAGGTTCATTTTCCAGGAGTACCAATACTGTGTATGCACGGTAACGCCGTACTCGCCCATGGCCAGGGTCTAACCTGCAGCCATCCTCGAAAGAGCCCCTTCCGTCTTTCGTTGGGTTTTTACAATTGCAGGGATGCAACCCAGGGTCTCACCCGTGCAAGGCACATTTCTGCCCCTGAGTCACACCCCCGGCCCCCATGCTGTTCCTTGTTGAAATGCTTTGTATGAATGACCGATAGGCTGCTTGTGAGACTGGGCTGTTCCAAATGATGCGGGAGTTTCCAGTGTGGGTATCAGGAACTCGGTTCCGTTACTGACTCCTGGAGTCTCAAGTGGACCGTTTGCCTTAGCAGGCGAGTGTGATCACCTTCGTATGAATTCCTTTGCTGTAGCTTTGTGTGGTTTCCAAAATTGTAACAACCCAAACTGTCTGCATTTCGAAATACTTGCATATTTGAAAATAAAATTGATCGCTCACAGGTTTTGAAAATCATTTCCTCGTGTTCTTTGAACCACAACCCAGTGGTACTTGGTGCTCCCTCTTGACTGCTCATGAATCCCTCCTAGAGGGCTCAAGGGTCAAGGGTCCCTGCTGGGCTGAAGCCGGGTCTCCTAGTGTAAGGCAAGCGCCCTATCCATTGTACTGTCATTTCACCGCCCTTGAAAATCGTGATTTTTTTTTTGTTTTGGGGCGACACCTGGCAGTGGTCAGGGAACCACATGGGGGTGCCAGAATTCAAACCCGGGTCAGCTGCATGCAGGGCAGTAGCTCTACTTCCTGTACTACTGCTCCTGCCCCCTTGAAAATCTTTTTTAAGAGTAATTTTACACAGGTATATTGCTCCATAGCTGGAAGCCTGCCTCATAAGCAAAGGGGAGAAGGCAGATGGAATAGAGAAGGGATCACTAAGAAAATGATGGCTGGAGGAACTGGTCGGGATGGGAGATGTGTGCAGAAAGTAGACAAAGGACCAAACATGATAACCTCTCAGCGTCTGTGTTGCAAACCATAATGCCCAAAAGTAGAGAGAGAATATGGGGAATATTTTCTGCCATGGAGGCAGAGGGAGGGTGGGAAAGGGGGGTATACTGGGGAGATTGGTGGTGGGAAATGTGCACTGGTGGAGGGATGGGTGTTGGATCATTGTGTGATTATAACCCAAACATGAAAACTTGTAACTATCTCACGGTGATTCAATACAATAAAAAAAAACCCTAGGAACATATATAAAAAAGTAATTTTTACACTGACTAAGCGATTCATCAGGCAGAAGAAATCTTTAGAAAGTGGTAGCACATCCGCTGGGAGTTAGCTGTTCACTGCCCTGCACTATTTTTTTTTTCTTTTTGGGTCACACCTGGCAGTGCATAGGGGTTACTTCTGGCTCTGCACTCAGGAACTACTCCTGGTGATGCTCGGGGGACCATATGGGTTGCCAGGGATCGATCCCAGGTCAGCAAACGCCCTACCCGCTGTACTATAGCTCCAGCCCCTGCCCTGCACTATTTTCAGCTGCTGAAGACAGTCATTGCTGCTGGTATGTGTTTTCAGGCGCTGGAAACTGTAGGTTAAGGTGTTCTTATAAACAAAATGTTATGACCAGAAACTGAGAAGTGAATTGTAGGCAGGTACTCCATCCTTTCTTGGGGTGAGCCATATCTAATCCATCCAGCACATCTGATGACAAGATGACAGTTGAAGTCTCACTGAGCCCGGCCAGCCAGTTGCATTTCAGAGCTGCCCTGTCTGAATCCAATTATACCTGGGGATCAACATTCTTCTGCTCTGGGCCAGAGTGATAGTACAGTGGGTAGGGTATTTGCCTTGCACACGGCAAACCCAGGTTCAATGCCTGTCACTGGGTGTAACCCTAAAAGCAATAAATAAATAATACCTTTCTGCTCTGATAAGTTTCATTCAGAGCCTCAAACTTCTTTTGGATATTCTTTAGGGCTCTTTAAGCTGTCTTTTGACTATGAGTCTGGATCATTGTGAATCCACAAATTAGCCCACAAGACTAATAGCGAATAAGAGGACTGAGACTGGGATTGCGTACTGAAATGTAGTTTTCTTAGTAGTTTTCTTCCTCATCCGTTTGTTAAATGTGTATGCCCCGCCCCCGTGCCGTGGATCAGACTGGAAAGTTAAATTAGTGACTGCTATGGCTGGGGTGAGAATGTTGGAGTGTGAATCTTGTGACTGTAAGAGGTCCCTTCAGGAGGGATTAAAATATCCTAAAATGGATGGATACGCCACTCAGATGACCAGAAACCCCTGAAGTGAGTACTTCCAAGGGCAAATGGTGACATGTATAGTTCAACAAAGCAATCCTGAAATTGTCAGGCTGCTCTAAAGGGCTAATGGTCCCTGGTCTCTGCTCCAGCTGTCTGTTCAGAGCCAGTAACCAACGTTATTTTAATGAAGAAAAACAATGTCACCCGAGTACATCAACCATGTCCCCACATACTAATGAAGGACTAGAGATGGCTTTAAGGAGGGTCACCAAAAGTCCTGCCATAAAGCTGCAAGGCATTGGGGAACATATTAAAATACACAAGGGGGGAGGTGGAATATAACAGGTAGGGTGCTTGCCTTGCACATGCCAGATGTGGGTTCAACCCCAAGCACCACATCTGGTTCCCTGGGCCCGCGTGCCAGGTGTGGTCCCCGAACACAGAGCCAGGAGTAACCTCTGAGCATCGCTAAGTGTGGCCTCCAAACCAAAACTGTAGAATAATTCTTGGCTTACTACCTGGTGGTAGTTTCTGAAGTTTGCTGCAAAGAAAGGGGAGGTACAGTGTACATCTGTGGCCCTTCTTACTCAGCGGGCTGTGCATGTATGTTCCCAGAGGGAATGACACTCCAGAACTCCTTTGATAAGTTCATGTTTCATATGTAACTGAAAACTGACGTGAGTGTCACTGCCATGATCAGACTGAGCCCCTGTACCAGAGAACTTCCATGAGTGGTGAGGCTCGTGTGCGCACACACAGGGAGAGAGGAGAGGCAGGGAGACAGAGAGAGGAGAGAGGAAAGAGAGAGGAGAGAGAGGAAAGATAGAAGAGAGAGGAGAGAGAGAAAGAGGGAAGAGAATAAGAGGAGCGAGGCTGCACTCCTCAACTATAGATGGTGGATCAACAAGCTTCATTCAGGAATAAGGGTCCGGGCAAGAGAGACACTAGTTGCCTGGCATGCGGCTGACCCCAGATCAGTCCTCGGTACTACATCTGGTTCCCTGAGCCCCCACTAGCAGTGATGCCTGAGCACAGAGGCAGGAGTAAGCTCTGAGCACTACTGGGGGTGACCCCAAGCCCAAATAAAGGCAATTTTGAAGAATAACGCTGTCTGGGCCAGATACTGCTCCACAGAGGCATTTTGGACCTTGCCACACATGCTGTCCCTGAGGTGAGTTCCTTGTGCCAGATGCTTTGGAATTGTGTGCTTTAAAACAGTTCCGGTGGTCATGCTGTGGGGAGAAGGCAGCTCAGATAGAGAAGGGAGCACCCAATAAAGGTTGTTCGGAGGATCCTCACAGGATGAGAGGTACATGCTGAAAGTAGACTATAGACCGAACATGATTGCCACTCAATGCCTCTTTTGCAAATCACAGCACCCAAAAGGAGAGAGAGAACAAAAGGGAATGCCCTGCCACCGGGGTGGGGTGGGATGGGATGGGGGGTGGGGGGATGGGAGGGATTCCGGGAGCATTGGAGGTGGGGAATGGGCACTGGTGGAAGGATGGGTACTCAATCATTGTATAACTGAAACCCAAGCACAAAAATCTGTAAGTCTACAACTGTACCTCATGGTGTTTCACTAATAAAAAAATAAAATAAAACAGTGCCAGTGGGCTAGAGCGATAGTACAGCAGGTGGCATTTGCCTTGCATACTGCCAACCCAGGTTCAATCCCCAGCATCCCATATGGTCCCCTGTAGGATAACATTTGGTTTATCCTTTCAGCCTTGCTGCAGGGGACTTAGGTTTAATCTGGTCACACCCATCACAGTGCCCATTTCTTTGTTTATCTGTAAACTCCCATTTCTTTGTTTATCTGTAAACTCTTCTCTGTGCTCTCCTCCCGAACCAGAACCAGTTAATCACCTTTTTCACTAATCAGATTCTGTTAGCTTGTAAGATCAGATCCTTCTAAGGACACTGAACTTGTATTGTAAGTTGTGTCTTTTGCACAGTTTACCTTAAAGCAATGTCCTTTCTGTATGGGTGCAATATTATGCTTTGTAACTTGGGAGTTGATTGACTCCGAATAATATTTACTCCTGGGCATATGCTTTCTCAACTCAGTTGCCCTTAGTTCCTAGCACCCCAAAAGCAGGGTCCCAGCGAGGGACTTAATGGACCCAGGGCAAGTTGTGAGCTACCCTGGCATCGAAATGGGCCAGGCCAAGCGCCGTAATACTTAACTATAAGTTAAGAGCAGGTTCGTGGACAAACTCTGTCATAACCCAAAAGAGGTAACTGGATAAAGACCCTGCTGGGGCCGGGAAGACTAACCTGGCCTGAGGACTGTGGTCTGGAATATATTGTGAGATGTTCTCAGGAAGAGCCAACCTTTAAATTTGATATATCTCTTGATATATCTTATTCGCGGCCGCGCGACATCTTATTATCTCATTCTTGCTTTGGACAACCTGGCAGGCTACGGAATGTGACCTGCCCGCACAGCAGAGTCTGACAAACTCCCCATGGCATACCCAATATGCCAAATACCAGTAACAATGATGGGTCTCATTCTCCTAACCCTGAAAGAGCCTCGAATATGGCACTTTTTAAAATCTCAGGGCTAGGACGAAGGAGATGTTACTGGTGCCTGCTCAAGGCAGTTGACGAACAACCAGGATGATCGTGATCATGATCATGATCTCTTACCCTGCTCATACAGAATGACATTGCTAGAAATATTAGAAGTAGATTTACTACAACTATTTAAGTGGATTACTAGCTGAGGAAAGAAGAAAGCTGACATATCCTGGATGGGATCCCACCCTTGAGCGGATCTCCTAGTAATCTGAAGTAATCTCCCTAGATGAGATTTTCATTCATTCATTTCATTTCATCATCCTGTTATTCGTCGATTGCCTCGAGCAGGCCCCAGTAACGTCTCTTTCATCCTAGCCCTGAGATTATATTCAAGGCTCTTTAGGAGAATGAGACCCATCATTGTTACTGATATTTGGCATATTTGGTACGCGACGGGGAGTTTGCCAGACTCTGCCCTGTGGGCAGGCTATATTCGATAGCCTGCAAGTTTGTTCAAAGTAGGAATGAGATTTTATCCTTGAGTTAATCTGGAGGAGTGGCCTTACTTCTCTTTGTTGATTTGTTAATGTTCAACCCACCTTTGTATCCCTACCCTATGTGATTGCGATATAAACCAAGACTGTAAGAGCAGAGGGGGTCAGAGTCAGAGGGGGATAGGAATGAAGAGTGTGAGACGAGATTGAATAACTG